TCCGTTTTTTCAGATATAGCATCACATCAGCCTCCACTCCCTGCAATGTCAGCCACTAGTACCGTTCCTTCAGATATAGCATCGACATCAGCCACCACTCCTGCAATGTCATCAGCCACTAGTACCGTTCCTTCAGATATAGCATCCACATCAGCCTCACCTGCAATGTCAGCCACTACCAGTACCGTTCCTTCAGATATAGCATCATCCACATCAGCCATCCACCCAGATATAGCATCAGCCTCCACTCCCCAATCAGCCACTAGTACCGTTCTTCAGATATACCATCGACATCCACATCAGCCACTCCACCTTCATATATAGCCTCGACATGTCAGCCACTAGTACCGTTCCTTCAGATATAGCATCCACATAAGCCCACTCCACCTGCAATTTCAGCCACTAGTACCGTTCCTTCAGATATAGCATCGACATCAGCCTCCAATCCTGCATTGTCAGCCACTATTACTGTTCTTCAGATATAGCATCCACATCAGCCCACTCCTGCAATGTCAGCCACTTCAGTACTGTTCCTTCAGATATAGCATCCACATCAGCCTCCACCCTGCAATGTCAGCCACTAGTACTGTTCCTTTCAGATATAGCATCGACATCAGCCTCCACTCCTGCATTGTCAAAATACTAGTACCGTTCCTTCAGATATAGCATCGACATCAGCTCATTGTCACCCTGCAATGACAGCCACTAGTACCGTTCCTTCAGATATAGCATCCGCATCAGCCTCTCCACTCCTGCAATGTCAGCCACTAGTACCGTTCCTTCAGATATAGCATCCACATCAGCCTCCACCCTGCAATGTCAGCCACTAGTACCGTTCCTTCAGATATAGCATCCACATCAGCCTCCACTCCTGCATTGTCAGCCACTAGTACCGTTCCTTCAGATATAGCATCCACATCAGCCTCCACTCCTGCATTGTCAGCCACTCAGATATAGCTCCACCAGTTCCAGATACCACATTCCCACTTCAGATACTAGTACCGTTCTTCAGACATAGCGACACATCAGCCTCCACTCCTGCAATGTCAGCCACTAGTACTGTTCCTTCAGATATAGCATCCACATCAGCCTCCACCCTGCATTGTCAGCCACTAGTACTGTTCCTTCAGATATAGCATCCACATCAGCCCTCCAATCCTGCATTGTCAGCCACTAGTACCGTTCCTTCAGATATAGCATCCACATCAGCCTCACTCCTGCATTGTCAGCCACTAGTACCCGTTCCTTCAGATATAAAGCGACATCAGCTCCACTTCCTGCAATGTCAGCCACTAGTACCGTTCTTCAGATATAGCATCGACATCAGGCTCCTGTATTGTCACTAGCACCCTTCCCTGCATTGTCAGCCACTATAACAACTCCTTCAGATATATAGCATCCACATCAGCCACCACTCCTGCAATGTCAGCCACTAGTACCGATATATAGTGACCCTTCAGCCATAGTACCGCATATAGCCACATCAGCCTCCACTAGTACCCGATAATCGACATCAGCCCACCCTGCAGTACCGTTCTTCAGATATAGCATCCACATCAGCCTCCACTCCTGCAATGTCAGCCACTAGTACCGTTCCCTTCAGAGATAGCAGATCCACATCAGCCCCCACTCCTGCATTGTCAGATATAGCCACATCAGTACCGTCAGCCACTCTGTTCTTCAGATATAGCATCGACATCAGCCCACCCTTGCACAGCCACTGCAATCCTCAGCCACATACTTTCCACCGTTCCAATGTCAGATATAGCATATACCATCGACATCAGCCTCCACCCTTGCAATGACAGCCAATTAGTACCGTTCCTTCATATAGCATCCACTGGCCTCCACTCCTGCATTGTCAGCCTCCACGTTCCCATATAGCATCCAGCCACCTGCATTGTCAGCCACTAGTTTCCTTCAGATAGCATCCACATCAGCCCTCCACTCCCATGCATTGTCAGTTCCCTTCAGATATAGTACATCAGGCATTGTCAGCTTCAGATATAGCATCCACATCAGCCTCCAATCCTGCAATGTCAGCCACTAGCATCGTTCCTTCAGATATAGTATCCACATCAGCCTCCACTCCTGTACGTCAGCCACTAGTACCGTTTCTTCGATATATATCCAGAGCCTCCATAAATGTCAGCCACTAGTACCGTTCCTTCAGATAGCATCACACTGCCTCCACTCCTGCAATGTCAGCCACTTCAGTACCGTTCCTTTCAGATATAGCATCCATAGCCCACTGCAACAGCCACTAGCACCGTCTTTAGATATAGCATCCATATCAGCCTCCACTCCTGCATGTCAGCCACTAGTACCGTTCCTTCAGAGATAGTATCCACCCTGGCCTCCACTTGCAATGTCAGCCACTAGTACCGTTCAGATATAGCATCCACATCAGCCTCCATTCCTGCATTAAGCCACTAAACCGTTCCTTCAGATATAGCATCCATCAGCCTCGCCCCTGCAGCCACTATACCTGTTCCTTCAGATATAGCATCCACATCAGCCTCCACTGCTGCAATGTCAGCGACTAGTACCGTTCCTTTAGATATATCTAATATCAGCCTCCACTCCTGCAATGTCAGTTACTAGTACCGTTCCTCAGATATAGCATCCACATCAGCCTCTCCACTCCTGCAATGTCAGCTTACTTCGTACCGTTCCTTCCAGATATAGCATCCACATCAGCCTCCAGCTCCTGCAATGTCAGCTACTAGTACCGTTCCTTCAGAATGACATCAGCCCCTTACTCCCGCATTGTCAGCCACTAGTACCGTTCCTTCAGATATACATCGACACGCCTCCACCCTGCAATGTCAGCTACTACCTCGTTCTTCAGATAGCATCCACATCAGCCTCAATTGTCAGCCACTATTACCGTTCCTTCAGATATAGCATCGACATCAGCCTCCACTCCTGCATTGTCAGCCACTAGTACCGTTCCTTCAGATATAGCATCCACATCAGCCTCCACCCTGCATTGTCAGCCACTAGTACCGTTCCTTCAGATATAGCATCGACATCAGCCACCACTCCTGCAATGTCAGCCACTAGTACCGTTCCTTCAGATATAGCATCCACATCAGCCTCCACTCCTGCAATGTCAGCCACTAGTACCGTTCCTTCAGATACATAGCATCACATCAGCCTTTTCTCCCTGCAATGTCAGCCACTAGTACCGTTCCTTCAGATATAGACATCCCTCCACAATGACAGCCTCCGTTCAATCATATATAGCATCGACATCAGCATTGTCAATGTCAGCCACTAGTACCGTTCCTTCCAGATATACCATCCACATCAGCCTCCACCCTCCTGACAGCCACTTGTCCGTTCCTTCAGCCACATCAGTACCCCTGCATTGTCCTTCCATCGACATCAGCTTCCAGATATAGCATCCACATCAGCCCACATCCCTCCACCTGCATTGTCAGCCACCAGTACCGTTCCTTCAGATATAGCATCCACATCAGCCTCCCACCCTGCATTGTCAGCCACTAGTACCGTTCCATCAGATATAGCATCGACATCAGCCTCCACTCCTGCATTGTCAGCCACTAGTACCGTTCCTTCAGATATAGCATCCACATCAGCCTCCCAATCCTGCAATGTCAGCCACTAGTACCGTTTTTTCAGATATAGCATCCACATCAGCCTCCACTCCTGCATTGTCAGCCACTAGTACCCTTCAGATATAGCATCGACATCAGCCTCCACTCCCTGCAATGTCAGCCACTAGTACCGTTCCTTCAGATATAGCATCGACATCAGCCTCCACCCCTGCATTGTCAGCCACTAGTACCGTTCCTTCAGATATAGCATCGATATCAGCCTCCAATCCTGCATTGTCAGCCACTAGTACCGTTCCTTCAGATATAGCATCGACATCAGCCACCACTCCTGCAATGTCAGCCACTAGTACCGTTCCTTCAGATATAGCATCGACATCAGCCTCACCCCTTGCAGTACCGTTCCTTCAGATATATAGCATGTCCAGCCTGCATTGTCAGTACCGTTCCTTCAGATATAGCATCGACATCAGCCTCCACTCCTGCATTGTCAGCCACTAGTACCGTTCCTTCAGATATACCATCGACATCAGCCTCCACCCCTGCATTGTCAGCCACCGTTCCTTCAGTACCGTTCCTTCAGATAGCCACTGGTACCGTTCCTTCCATATAGCATCGACATCAGCCTCACTCCTGCAATGTCAGCCACTAGTACCGTTCCTTCAGATATAGCATCCACATCAGCCTCCACTCCTGCAATGTCAGCCACTAGTACCGTTCCTTCCGATTCCAGATATAGCATCCACATCAGCCTCCACAGATCCTGCATTGTCAGCCACTAGTACCGTTCCTTCAGATATAGCATCCACATCAGCCTCCACTCCTGCATTGTCAGCCACTAGTACCGTTCCTTCAGATATAGCATCGACATCAGCCTCCACTCATGCAGATATGACAGCCACTAGTACCGTTCCTTCAGATATAGCATCGACACATCCAATCCCCAATCCAGCCACTTATAGCATCCACATCAGCCTGCAATTGTCAGCCACTAGTACTGTTCCTTCATAGATATAGCATCCACATCAGCCCACTCCTGCAATGTCAGCCACCAGTACCGTTCCTTCAGATATAGCATCCACATCAGCCTCCAATCCTGCATTATCAGCTACACTAGTACCGTTCCTTCAGATATAGCATCGACATCAGCCTCCAATCCCCATTGTCAGCCACTAGTACTAGTACGTTCCTTCAGATATAGCATCCACATCAGCCTCCACTCCTGCAATGTCAGCCACTAGTACCGTTCCTTCAGATATATAGCATCACATCAGCCTCCACTCCTGCAATGTCAGCCACTAGTACCGTTCCTTCAGATATACATAGCATCGACATCAGCCTCCCTCCACGACATTGTCATGCCAGCCACTAGTACCGTTCCTTCAGATATAGCATCCGCATCAGCCTCCACTCCCTGCAATGTCAGCCACTAGTACTGTTCCTTCAGATATAGCATCGACATCAGCCACTACTCCTGCAATGTCAGCCACTAGTACCGTTCCTTCAGATATAGCATCCACATCAGCCTCCACTCCTGCATTGTCAGCCACTAGGCACCGTTCCTTCAGATATAGCATCCACATCAGCCTCCACTCCTTGCATTGTCAGCCACTAGTACCGTTCCTTCAGATATATAGCATCGACATCAGCCTCCACTCCTGCATTGTCAGCCACTAGTACCGTTCCTTCAGATATAGCATCAGCCTCCACCCTGCAATGTCAGCCACTAGTAACGTTCCTTCAGATATAGCATCCGCATCAGCCCTCCACTCCTGCAATGTCAGCCACTAGTACCGTTCCTTCAGATATAGCATCCACATCAGCCCCACCCTTGCAATATCAGCCACTAGTACCGTTCCTTCAGATATAGCATCCACATCAGCCTCCACTCCTGCAATGTCAGCCACTATTACCGTTCCTTCCAGATATACCATAGACATCAGATATAGCAATCCACATCAGCCTCCCCTCCTGCATTGTCAGCCACTAGTACCGTTCCTTCAGATATAGCATCGACATCAGCCACCACTCCTGCAATGTCAGCCACTAGTACCGTTCAGCATATATACCATCCACATCAGCTTCTCCACCCTGCAATGTCAGCCACTAGTACCGTGTTCCTTCAGATATAGCATCATCAGCCTCCACTCCTTCATTGTCAGCCACTATTACCGTTCAGATATAGCATCCACATCAGCCTCCACTCCTGCATTGTCAGCCACTAGTACCGTTCCTTCAGATATACCATGCATCAGCCTCCACCCTCAGCCACTAGTACCGTTCCTTCATATATAGCCTCGACATCAGCTTCCATTGTCGGCCACTAGTACCGTTCCTTCAGATATACCATCGACATCAGCCTCCACCCTTGCAATCAGCCACCTAGTACCGTTCCTTCAGATATAGCATCATCAGCCTCCACTTCCTGCATTGTCTGCCACTATTACCGTTCCTTCAGATATAGCATCGACATCAGCCTCCACTCCGCATTGTCAGCCACTGATCCTTTCCAGATATATAGCATCGACATCAGCCTCCAATCACTGTGCAATGTCGCCACTAGTACCCTTCCTTCAGATATAGCATCCACGACCTCCATCCTGCATTGTTTTGCCACTAGTACCGTTCCTGCATTCAGTCCGCAGTCAGCCACTAGTACCGTTCCTAGATATAGCATCCATCAGCCTCCAATCCGCAATGTCAGCCACTAGTACCGTTCCTTCAGATATAGCATCCACATCAGCCTCCACTCCTTCAATGTCAGCCACTAGTACCGTTCCTTCAGATATAGCATCATCAGCCTCCACTCCTGCAATGTCAGCCACTAGTACCGTTCCTTCACTAGATATATAGCATCCACATCAGCCTCCACCCCTGCAATGTCAGCTCCGTTCCTTCAGATATAGCATCGACATCAGCCTCCACTCCTGCAATGTCAGCCACTAGTACCGTTCCTTCAGATATACCATCCCGACATCAGCCTCCCATTCCTGCAATGACAGCCACTAGTACCGTTCCTTCAGATATAGCATCGACATCAGCCTCCACTCCTGCAATGTCAGCCACTAGTACCGTTCCTTCCATCGATATAGCATCCACATCAGCCTCCACTCCTGCAATGTGTCAGCCACTATTACCGTTCCTTATAGATCCATCAGCCTCCAGCATCCGTTCCTTCAGATATAGCATCACATCAGCCTCCACTCATGCAATGTCAGCCACTAGTACCGTTCATTCCAGATATAGCATCCCACATCAGCCTCCACTCCTGCAATGTCAGCCACTTCAGTACCGTTCAGCCTTCAGATATAGCATCCACATCAGCCTCCAATCACCATTGTCAGCCACTAGTACCGTTCATCCAGATATAGCATCGACATCAGCCTCCACTCTGCAATGTCAGCCACTAGTACCGTTCCTTCAGATATAGCATCGACACATCAGCTCAATCTGCAATGACAGCCACTAGTACCGTTCCTTCAGATATAGCATCGACATCAACCTCCACTCCTGCAATGTCAGCCACTAGTACCGTTCCTTCCAATCCCATCAGCCACAATGTCAAGCCACAAGTACCGTTCCTTTCAGATATAGTATCCACATCAGCCTCCACTCCTTCATTGTCAGCCACTAGTACCGTTCCTTCAGATATAGCATCGACATCAGCCTCCACTCCTGCAATGTCAGCCACTAGTTCCAGATATAGCATCCACATCAGCCTCCTTCAGACTAGTACCGTTCATCCGACATCAGCCTCCACTCCTGCAATGTCAGCCACTAGTACCGTTCCTTCAGATATAGCATGTCGACATCAGCCTCCATCAGCCTCCTCCTGCATTGTCAGCCACTAGTACCGTTCCTTCAGATATAACATCCACATCAGCCTCAATCCATTGTCAGCCACTGTCATATAGTATCCATGTTCCACTCCTCAGATATAGATTCCACATCAGCATCCGTTCAACTCCAAAATGTTCCACTAGTACCGTTCCTTCAGATATAGCCTCAGCCTCCCACTCCTGCATGTTCCATTGTTCAGCCACTCGTACTCGTTCCAATTCCTCATATAGCATCGACATCAGCCTCCAATCCTGCAATGTCAGCCACTAGTACCCTTCCTTCCAGATATAGCATCCACATTAGCCTCCTCCTCCTGCATTGTCAGCCACTAGTACCGTTCCTTCAGATATATAGCATCCACATCAGCCACCACTCCCTGCATTTGTCAGCCACTAGTACCGTTCCCAGATATATAGATCGACATCAGCATCCACAGCCACTAGTACCGTTTTTCTGGTGAGCCTCACTCCTGCATTGTCAGCCACTAGTACCGTTCCTTCAGATATAGCATCGACATCAGCCTCCACCCTGCAATGTCAGCCACTTTAAAATACCGTTCCTTCAGATATAGCATCCACATCAGCCTCCCACTCCTTGCAATGTCAGCCACTAGTACCGTTCCTTCAGATATAGCATCCACATCAGCCTCCACTCCCTTCAATGTCAGCCATCAGTACCGTTCCTTCAGATATAGCATCCACATCAGCCTCCACTCCTGCAAATGTCAGCCACTAGTAACGTTCCAGATATGGCATCGACATCAGCCTCACCCTCCTGCAATGACAGCCACTAGTACCGTTCCTTCGAATATAGCCTCCACATCATTTTCCACTCCTTGCCAATGTCAGCCACTAGTACCGTTCTTCATATACCATCGACATCAGCCTCCACCCCTGCAATGACAGCCACTTAGTACCGTTCCTTCAGATATAGCATCCACATCCACTCCTGCAGTCCTTCCTTCCACAGATATAGCATCCACATCCTGCATTGTCATGTCCTTCAGATATAGCCACTAGTACCGTTCCTTCAGATATAGCATCGACATCAGCCCACATTGTCAGCCACCACTTCCTATAGTGATCGACATCAGCCTCCAATCCTGTCAGCTACTAGCGTTCCTTCAGATATAGCATCCACATCAGCCTCCACTCCTGCAAATGTCCAGCCACTAGTACCGTTCCTTCGAATATATCCGCATCGACATCCCAAATGTCAGCCTCACTTCCCATTGACACTGGGCCTCCACTCCACTAGTACCGTTCCTTCGGATATAGCATCCATAGCCCATCGACATCGGGCACTCCACATCCCTGCAATGTCAGCCACTAGTACCGTTCCTTCAGATATAGCATCCACATCAGCCTCCACTCCTGCAATGTCAGTACCACTAATTAGCATCCACGTACTCCTGCATTTGTCGCAACTTCAGATATAGCATCCAGTCAGCCTCCCACTCCCTGCATTGTCAGCCACTGGTACCGTTCCTTCAGATATAGCATCCCACATCAGCCTCAACTCCTGCAATGTCAGCCACTAGTACCGTTCCTTCAGATATAACGTACATCAGCCTCCTCTCCTGCAATGTCAGCCACTAGTACCGTTCCTTCAGATATAGCATCCATCGGCCTCAATCACCATGACCACTGGTACCGTTCTAACCAGATATAGCATCATCAGCCTCGACTCCTGATAGCCACTGGTACCGTTCCTTCAGATATAGCATCCATCGCCTCCACTCACCAATGTCAGCCCACTAGTACCGTTCCTTGAATGCTATAGCATTCACATCAGCTCCACTCCTGCATTGTCAGCCACTGGTACCGTTCCTTCGAACAGCACATCCATCAGCCTCCACTCCCTGCAATGTCAGCCTGGTACCGTTCCTTCAGATATAGCATCCACATCAGCCTCCACCCCTGCATGTCAGCCACTAGTACCGTTCCTTCAGATATAGCATCACATCAGCCTCCTCCTGCATTGTCAGCCACTAGTACCGTTCCTTCAGATATAGCATCGACATCAGCCTCCACTCCTGCAATGTCAGCCACTAGTACCGTTCCTTCAGATATAGCATCCACATCAGCCTCCCTGCTCCTGCAATGTCAGCCACTAGTACCGTTCCTTCAGATATAGCATCCACATCATCCACTCCTGCAATGCCAGCCACTAGTACCGTTCCTTCAGATATAGCATCCCACATCAGCCTCCACTCAAATGTCAGCCACTAGTACCGTTCCTTCAGATATAGTCGACATCCTTCCAGATATACCGTTCCTTCAGATATAGCATCCACATCAGCCTCCACTCCTGCAATGTCAGCCACTAGTACCGTTCCTTCAGATATAGCATCCACATCAGCCTCCACTCCTGCATTGTCAGCCACTAGTACCGTTCCTTCAGATATAGCATCCACATCAGCCTCCACTCCTACAATGTCAGCCACTAGTACCGTTCCTTCAGATACTTTGTCACATCAGCCTCCACTCCCTGCAATGTCCTGACCACTAGTACCGTTCCTTCAGATATAGCATCCACATCAGCCTCCCTCCCTGCATTGTCAGCCACTAGTACCGTTCCTTCAGATATAGCATCACATCGAGCTCCACTCCTGCTCAGCCACTAGTACCGTTCCTTCAGATATAGCATCGACATCAGCCTCCTCCTGCAATGTCAGTCCTGGTACCGTTCCTTCAGATGTAGCATCCACATCAGCCTCTCCACTCTGCAATGTGTCAGCCATAGTACCGTTCCTTCAGATATAGCATCATCAGCCTCCACTCCTGCAATGTCAGCCACTAGTACCGTTCCTTCCAGATATAGCATCGACATCAGCCTCCACTCCTGCATTGTCAGCCACTGTACCGTTCGCTTCAGATAACATCGACATCAGCCTCCTCCTGCAATGTCAGCCACTAGTACCGTTCGTTCCCAGATATAGCATCCACAGCCTCCACTCCTGCATTGTCAGCCCTAGTACCGTTCCTTCAGATGCATAGCATCACATCAGCCTCCACTCCTGCAATGTCAGCCACTGGTACCGTTCCTTCAGATATAGCATCCACATCAGCCTCCACTCCTGCATTGTCAGCCACTAGTACCGTTCAACTTAGATATGCATCCACATCAGCTTCCTCCTGCTGCAATGTCCTTCAGTATAGCATCCACCGCCTCCACTCCTCAATGTCATATACCGTTCCTTCAGATATAGCATCACATCAGCCTCCCTTTCCTGCAATGTCAGCCACTAGTACCGTTCCTTCAGATATAGCATCCACATCAGCCTCCACTCACCAATGTCAACCATAGTACCGTTCCTTCAGATATAGCATCCACATCAGCCTCCACTCCCTGCAATGTCTGACCACTGGTACCGTTCCTTCAGATATAGCATCCACATCAGCCTCCACTCCTGCAATGTCAACCACTAGTAACGTTCCTTCAGATATAGCATCCACATCCAGCCCCACTCTGCAATGTCAGCCACTAGCACCGTTCCTTCCCATATAGAATCGACATCAGCCTCCCTCCTGCAATGTCATCACCAATACCAGTTCCTTCAGATATAGCATCACATCCAGCCTCCCACTCCCTGCATTGTCAGCCACTAGTACCGTTCCTTCAGATATAGCATCCACATCAGCCTCCACTCCTGCATTGTCCCAGCCACTAGTACCGTTCCTTCAAGATATAGCATCATTGTCAGCCTCCACTCCTGCAATGTCAGTCACTAGTACCGTTCCTTCAGATATAGCATCCACATCAGCCTCCACTCCTGCAATGTCAGCCCATAGTACCGTTCCTTCAGATATAGCATCCATCGGCCTCCACTCCTGCATTGTCAGCCACTAGTACCGTTCCTTCAGATATAGCATCGACATCAGCCTCCACTCCTGCAATGTCAGCCCACTAGTACCGTTCCTTCAGATATAGCATCACATCAGCCCTCCCTTCCCCTGCAATGTCAGCCTGGTACCGTTCCTTCAGATATAGCATCCACATCAGCCTCCCACCCGCCGCAATGTCAGCCACTAGTACCGTTCCTTCCAGATATAGCATCAGCATCAGCCTCAACTCCTGCAATGTCAGCCACTAGTACCGTTCCTTCAGATATAGCATCCACATCAGCCTCCATTCCTGCATTGTCAGCCACTAGTACCGTTCCTTCAGATATAGCGTCATCAGCCTCAATCCTGCAATGTCAGCCTGGTACGTTCCTTCAGATATAGCATCCACATCAGCCTCCACTGCTGCAATGTCGGCGACTACCGTTCACTTCAGATATGGCATCACATCAGCCTCCACTCCTGCAATGTCAGCCACTAGTACCGTTCCTTCAGATATAGCATTCATCAGCCTCCACTCCTGCAATGTCCAATACTAGTACCGTTCCTTCAGATATAGCATCCACATCAGCCTCCACTCCTGCAATGTGTCAGCCACTAGTACCGTTCCTTCAGATATAGCATCGACATCATGTCCCCCACTTCCTTCTGGCATCCATCAGCCTCCACTCCCTGCAATGTCAGCCATAGTACCGTTTTCCTTCAGATATAGCATCGACATCAGCCTGCCCAATCAGTCACTAATTGCGTTCACTGAATATAGTCCACATCAGCCTCCACTCCTGCAATGTCACCGTTCCTTCAGATATAGCATCGACATCAGCCTCTCATCCTGCATTGTCAGCCACTCCACCGTTCCTTCAGATATAGCATCCACATCAGCCTCCACTCATTGTCAGCCGTTCCCACCCCTTCAGATATAGCATCCACATCAGCCTCCACTCCTGCATTGTCAGCCACTAGTACCGTTCCTTCAGATATAGCATCCACATCAGCCTCCACTCCTGCAATGTCAGCCACTAGTACCGTTCCTTCAGATATAGCATCCATTGTCATAGTACCGCCTCATCCACTCCTGCAATTTCAGCCACTAATTACCGTTCCTTCAGATATAGCATCCATCAGCATCCACCATGCATTGTCCATTGTCCTTCAGATATAGCCCACATCAGTACCGTGTCAGCTTTCAGATATAGCATCCACATCAGCCTCCTCCTGCAATGTCAGCCACTAGTACCGTTCCTTCAGATATAGCATCCACATCAGCCTCCCTCCTGCAATGTCAAATACTAGTACCGTTCCTTCAGATATAGCATCGACATCAGCTCCACTCCCTGCAATGTCAGCCACTAGTACCGTTCCTTCAGATATAGCATCCACATCAGACTCCTGCAATGTCAGCCACTCCACTAGACATTCCACTCCTGCATTGTCAGCCATATAGCATCGTCAGCCTCACTCCTGCAATGTCAGTCAATAGTACCGTTCCTTCAGATATAGCATCCACATCAGCCTCCACTCCTGCAATGTCAGCCACTAGTAACGTTCCTTACTAGTACCGTTCAGCCTCCACCCTGCAATGTCAGCCCACTAGATATAGAATCGACATCAGCCTCCATTCCCTGCAATGTCAGCCATCAGTACCGTTCCTTCAGATATAGCATCCACATCAGCCTCCACTCTGCATTGTCAGCCACTAGTACCGTTCCTTCAGATATAGCATCCACATCAGCCTCCACCCTCCAATGTCAGCCACTAAGTACCGTTCCTTCAGATATATAGCATCATCAACCTCCACCTGCAATGTCAGCCACTAGTACCGTTCCTTCAGATATAGCATCCACATCAGCCTCCACTCCTGCAAAAAAAGCCACTAGTACCGTTCCTTCCAGATATAGCATCCACATCAGCCTCCAATCCTGCAAATGTCAGCCACTTTGTACCGTTCCCTTCAGATATAGCATCCACATCAGCCTCCACTCCTGCAAATGTCAGCCACTAGTACCGTTCCTTCAGATATAGCATCGACATCAGCCTCCACCCTGCAATGTCAGCCACTAGTACCGTTCCTTCAGATACACCAGCCCACTAATGCATCCACATCAGCCCACATCAGCCTCCACTCCTGCAATGTCAGCCACTAGTACCTCCTTCAGATATATCCATCGACATCAGCCTCCACTCTACAATGTCAGCCACTAGTATTGTTCCTTCCAGATATAGCATCGACATCGGTGTATTCCACTCCTGCAATGTCAGCCACTAGTACCGTTCCTTCAGATATAGCATCCACATCAGCCTCCACTCCCTGCAATGTCAGCCACTAGTACCGTTCCTTCAGATATAGCATCCACATCAGCCTCCACTCCTGCAATGTCAGCCACTAGTACCGTTCCTTCAGATATAGCATCCACATCAGCCTCCACTCCTGCAATGTCAGCCACTAGTACCGTTCCTTCAGATATAGCATCCACATCAGCCTCCACTCCTGCATTGTCAAACACTAGTACCGTTCCTTCAGATATAGCATCCACATCAGCCTCCACTCCTGCAATGTCAGCCACTAGTACCGTTCCTTCAGATATAGCATCCACATCAGCCTCCACTCTGCAATGTCAGCCACTAGTAACGTTCCTTCAGATATAACATCCACATCAGCCTCCCTCTCGTACAATGTCAGCCACTAGTACCGTTCCTTCAGATATAGCATCCACATCAGCCTCCACTCCTGCATTGTCAGCCACTAGTACCGTTCCTTCAGATATAGCATCGACATCAGCCCACTCCTGCAATGTCAGCCACTAGTACCGTTCCTTCAGATATAGCATCCACATCAGCTCCACTCCTGCAATGTCAGCCACTAGTACCGTTCCTTCAGATATAGCATCCACATCAGCCTCCATCCTGCAATGTCAGCCACTAGTACCGTTCCTTCAGATATAGCATCCACATCCAGCCTCCCACTAGTACCTTCAGATATGTCCACATCAGCCACTAGTACCGTTCCTTCAGATATAGCATCGACATCAGCCTCCACTCCTGCAATGTCAGCCACTAGTACCGTTCCTTCAGATATAGCATCCACATCAGCCTCCACTCCTGCAATGTCAGCCACTAGTACCGTTCCTTCAGATATAGCAGCCACTCCTGCAATGTCAGCCGTTCCTTCAGATATATCAGCATCCACGTCAGCCACTCAGCCTCCAGATATAGCTCCTGCAATGTCAGCCACTAGTACCGTTCCTTCAGATATAGCATCCACATCAGCCTCCACTCCTGCATTGTCAGCCACTAGTACCGTTCCTTCAGATATAGCATCCACATCAGCCCACATCAGCCTCCTTCAGATATAGCCTCAGCAATGTCAGCCACTAGTACCGTTCCTTCAGATATAGCATCCACATCAGCCTCCCTCCTCCTGCAATGTCAGCCACTAGTACCGTTCCTTCAGATATAGCATCCACATCAGCCTCCACTCCTGCAATGTCAGCCACTTACCGTCCTTCAGATATAGAATCCAGCTACTCCTGCAATGTACCCGTTCCTTCAGATATAGCATCCACATCAGCCTCCACTCCTGCAATTGTCAGCCACTAGTACCGTTCCTTCAGATATAGCATCCACATCAGCCTCCACTCCTGCAAATGTCAGCCACTAGTACCGTTCCTTCAGATATAGCATCCACATCAGCCTCCACTCCAACTAGTACCAGATATATCCACCATCAGTCAGCCACTAGTACCGTTCCTTCAGATATAGCATCGACATCAGCCTCCACTCCTGCAATGTCAGCCACTAGTACTGTTCCTTCAGATATAGCATCCACATCAGCCTCCCACTCCTGCAATGTCAGCCACTAGTACCGTTCCTTCAGATATAGCATCCATATCAGCATCCTGCAAATGTCAGCCACTAGTACCGTTCCTTCAGATATAGCTCCACATCCTGCCAAATGTCAGCCACTAGTACCGTTCCTTCAGATATAGCATCCACATCAGCCTCCACCCTGCAATGTCAGCCACTAGTACCGTTCCTTCAGATATAGCATCGACATCAGCCTCCCTGTCAGCCACTAGTACCGTTCAGATATAGCATCCACATCAGCACCTGCATTGTACCGTTCCTTCAGATATAGCATCCACATCAGCCTCCTCCTGCATTGTCAGCCACTAGTACCGTTCCTTCAGATATAGCATCCACATCAGCCTCCACTCCAATGCACTAGTACCGTTCCACTAGTCAGCCATCTCCAGTCAGCTACTAGTACCGTTCCTTCAGATATAGCATAATCCACACCAGCCCACTCCTGCAATGTCAGCCACTAGTACCGTTCGTTCAGATATAGCATCCACATCAGCATTCACTCGCATTGTCAGCCACTAGTACCGTTCCTTCCAGATATGGTAATTCACATCAGCCTCCACTCCTGCAATGTCAGCCACCAGTACCGTTCCTTCAGATATAAGTATCCAATATCAGCCTCCACTCCTGCAATGTCAGCCACTAGTACCGTTCCTTCAGATATAAAGATCCACATCAGCCCACTCCTGCAAAATAAGTCAGCCACTAGTACCGTTCCTTCTCAGATATATAGCATCCACACCAGCTCTACCCTGCAAATAAGTCAGCCACTAGTACCGTTCCTTCCAGATATAGCATCCACATCAGCCTCCACCCTGCAATGTCAGCCATCAGTACCGTTCCTTCAGATATAAAGCATCCACATCAGCCTCCACCTGCATTGTCAGCCACTATACCGTTCCTTCAGATATAGCATCCACATCAGCCTCCCACTCCTGCAATGTCAGCCACTAGTACCGTTCCTTCAGATATAGCATCCATCAGCCTCCACCACCCCTCAATGTCAGCCACTAGTAACGTTCCTTCCAGATATAGCATCCACATCAGCTTCCACTCCCCTGCAATGTCAGCCACTAGTACCGTTCCTTCAGATATAGCATCCACATCAGCCTCCACCCTGCAATGTCAGCCACTAGTACCGTTCCTTCAGATATAGCATCCATCAGCCTCACCCTGCATTGTCAGCCACTAGTATAGCATCATCAGCCTCCTCTTCAGTACCGTTCCTTCCAGCATCCACATCAGCCTCCACTCCTGCAATGTCAGCCACTAGTAACGTTCCTTCAGATATAGCGTCCTCACATCAGCCTCCACTCCTGCAATGTCAGCCACTAGTACCGTTCCTTCCAGATATAGTCCACCACATCAGCCTCCTCCTGCAATGTCAGCCACTAGTACCGTTCCTTCAGATATAAAGATCCATATCAGCCTCCAATCCTGCATTGTCAGCCACTAGTACCGTTCCTTCCAGATATAGCATCCACATCAGCCTCCTCCAACAATGCCAGCCACTAGTACCGTTCCTTCAGATATAGACATCAGCCTCCTCCTACAATGTCAGTCACTAGTACCGTTCCTTCAGATATAGCATCCATCAGCCTCCACAATGTCAGCTCCATCGGTATCCTGCATTGTCAGCCACTAGTACCGTTCCTTCAGATATAGCATCCACATCAGACTCAATCCTGCAATGTCAGCCACTAGTACCGTTCAGCCTTCCAGATATAGCATCCACATCAGCCCTCCACTCCAACAATGTCAGCCACTAGTACCGTTCCTTCAGATATAGCATCGACATCAGCAGCCTCCACTCCTGCATTGTCAGCCAATAGTGCCGTTCCTTCAGATATAGCATCCACATCAGCCTCCCACTCCTGCAATGTCAGCCACTAGTACCGTTCCTTCCGATATAGCATCGACATCAACCTCCCACTCCTGCAATGTCAGCCACTAGTACCGTTCCTTCCATATAGCATCGACATCAGACTCCAATCCTGCAATGTCAGCCACTAGTACCGTTCCTTCAGATATAGCATCCATCAGCCTCCACTCCAACAATGTCAGCCACTAGTACCGTTCCTTCAGATATAGCATCCACATCAGCCTCACTCCTGCAATGTCAGCCACTAGTACCGTTCCTTCAGATATAGCATCCCACATCAGCCTCCACTCCTGCATTGTCAGCCACCTAGTACCGTTCCTTCAGATATAGCATCCACACCAGCCTCCTCCTGCAATGTCAGCCACTAGTACCGTTCCTTCAGATATAGCATCACATCAGCCCCAATCCTGCATTGTCAGCCACTAGTACCGTTCCTTCAGATATAGCATCCACATCAGCCTCCACTCCAAAATGTCAGCCACTAGTACCGTTCCTTCCAGATATAGCATCCACATCAGCCTCCACTCCTGCAATGTCAGCCACTAGTACCGTTCCTTCAGATATAGCATCCACATCAGCCTAGTACTCCTGCATTGTCAGCCACTTCAATGTCACCACTAGTACCGTTCCTTCAGATATAGCATCGACACCAGCCTCCACAGGTCCTGCAATGTCAGCCACTAGTACTGTTCCTTCAGATATAGCATCGACATCAGCCTCCACTCCCTGCAATGTCAGCCACTAGTACCGTTCCTTCAGATATATATAGCATCCACATCAGCCTCCTTCCAGATAGCATCCTGCATTGTCAGCCACTAGTACTGTTCCTTCAGATATAGCATCCACATCAGCCTCCACTCCTGCAATGTCAGCCACTAGTACCGTTCCTTCAGATATAGCATCCACATCAGCCTCCACTCCTGCAATGTGTCAGCCACTAGTAACCGTTCCTTCAGATATAGCATCGACATCAGCCTCCACTCCTGCATTGTCAGCCACTAGTACCGTTCCTTCAGATATATATAATCCACATCAGCCTCCCTGTCCTGTTCCTTCCAATATAGCATCGTCAGCCACTAGTACCGTTCCTTCAGATATAGCATCCACATCAGCCTCCACTCCTGCAATGTCAGCCACCAGTAACGTTCCTTCAGATATAGCATCCACATCAGGCATCCACTCCTGCAATGTCAGCCACTAGTACCGTTCCTTCAGATATATCCACATCAGCCTCCACTCCTGCAAATGTCAGCCACTAGTACCGTTCCTTCAGATATAAAGCATCCACATCAGCCTCCCACTCCTGCATTGTCAGCCACCATCAGTACCGTTCCTTCAGATATAGCATCCACATCAGCCTCCACCCTCAATGTCAGCCACTAGTACCGTTCCTTCAGATATAGCATCCACATCAGCCTCCACTCCTGCAATGTCAGCCACTAGTACCGTTCCTTCAGATATAGCATCCACATCAGCCTCCAATCCTGCATTGTCAGCCACTAGTACCGTTCCTTCAGATATAGCATCCACATCAGCCTCACTCCTGCATTGTCAGCCACTAGTACCGTTCCTTCAGATATAGCATCCAATGTCCAGCCTCAACCGTTCCGCATGTCAGCCACCAGTACCGCAATGTCAGATATAGCATCCACATCAGCCTCCTCCTCCTGCAATGTCAGCCACTGGTACCGTTCCTTCCAGATATAGCATCCACATCAGCCTCCAATCCTGCATTGTCAGCCACTAGTACCGTTCCTTCAGATATAGCATCGACATCATCCACATCAGCCTAGTACCGTTCGCTTCGACATCCCATCAGCCTCCACTCCCCTGCAATGTCAGCCACTAGTACCGTTCCTTCAGATATAGCATCCACATCAGCCTCCACTCCTGCAATGTCAGCCACTAGTACCGTTCCTTCCAGATATAGCATCCAGCATCAGCCTCCACTCCTGCATTGTCAGCCACTAGTACCGTTCCTTCAGATATAGCATCCACATCAGCCTCCCCCTGCAATGTCAGCCACTAGTACCGTTCCTTCAGATAGATATAGCATTGTCGACATTCAACCAGATATAGCATCATCCCTCCTGCAATGTCAGCCACTAGTACCGTTCCTTCAGATATAGCATCGACATCAGCCTCCACTCCTGCAATGTCAGCCACTAGTACCGTTCCTTCAGATATAGCATCGACATCAGCCTCCATTCCTGCATTGTCTGTCACTAGTACCGTTCCTTCAGATATAGCATCCACATCAGCCTCCACTCCTGCAATGTCAGCCACTAGTACCGTTCCTTCAGATATAGCATCCACATCAGCCTCCACTGCTGCAATGTCAGCCACTAGTACCGTTCCTTCAGATATAGCATCCACATCAGCCTCCACTCCCTGCAATGTCAGCCACTAGTACCGTTCCTTCAGATATAGCATCCACATCAGCCTCCACTCCCTGCAATGTCAGCCACTAGTACCGTTCCTTCAGATATAGCATCCACATCAGCCTCCACTCCTGCAATGTCAGCCACTAGTACCGTTCCTTCAGATATAGCATCCACATCAGCCTCCACTCCTGCAATGTCCCAGCCACTAGTACCGTTCCTTCAGATATAGCATCGACATCAGCCTCCATAGCATGTCAGCCATCAGCCTCCAAGATATAGCATCCATGTCAGCCACTGCAGTACCGTTCCTTCAGATATAGCATCGACATCAGCCTCCACTCCTGCAATGTCAGCCACTAGTACCGTTCCTTCAGATATAGCATCGACATCAGCCTCCACTGCAATGTCACTCACACTAGTACCGTTCCTTCAGATATACCATCCACATCAGCTCCACTCCTGCAATGACAGCCACTAGTACCGTTCCTTCAGATATAGCATCCACATCAGCCTCCACTGCTGCAATTGTCAGCCACTAGTACCGTTCCTTCAGATATAGCATCCACATCAGCCTCCACTCCTGCAATGTCAGCCACTAGTACCGTTCCTTCAGATATAGCATCCACATCAGCCTCCACTCCTGCAAATGTCAGCCACTAGTACCGTTCCTTCAGATATAGCATCCACATCAGCCTCCACTCCTGCAATGTCAGCCACTAGTACCGTTCCTTCAGATATAGCATCGACATCAGCCTCCACTCCTGCATTGTCAGCCACTAGTACCGTTCCTTCAGATATAGCATCGACATCAGCTTCACTCCTGCAATGTCAGCCACTAGTACCGTTCCTTCAGATATAGCATCCACATCAGCCTCCACCCTGCAATGTCAGCCACTAGTACCGTTCCTTCAGATATAGCATCCACATCAGCCTCCCAATCCTGCATTGTCAGCCACTAGTACCGTTCCTTCAGATATAGCATCCACATCAGCCTCCACTCCTGCAATGTCAGCCACTAGTACCGTTCCTTCAGATATAGTCGACATCAGCCTCCACTCCTGCAATGTCAGCCACCTGTTCCGTTCCTTCAGATATAGCATCGACATCAGCCTCCACTCCTGCATTGTCAGCCACTAGTACCGTTCCTTCAGATATAGCATCCACATGTCAGCCTCCACTCCTTAAATGTCAGCCACTAGTACCGTTCCTTCAGATATAGCATCCACATCAGCCTCCACTCCTGCAATGTCAGCCACTAGTACCGTTCCTTCAGATATAGCATCCACATCAGCCTCCACTCCTGCAATGTCAGCCACTAGTACCCGTTCCTTCCAGAGATAGCATCCACATCAGCCCCCACTCCTGCATTGTCAGCCACCTAGTACCGTTCCTTCAGATATAGCATCGACATCAGCCTCCACCCTGCAATGTCAGCCACTAATACCGTTCCTTCAGATATAGCATCGACATCAGCCTCCCACTCCTGCAATGTCAGCCACTAGTACCGTTCCTTCAGATATAGCATCCACATCAGCCTCCAATATGTACTCCTTCCTTCCAGCATCGACATCGCTATGTCAGCCACTAGTACCGTTCCTTCAGATATAGCATCCACATCAGCCTCCACCCCTGCATTGTCAGCCACTAGTACCGTTCCTTCAGATATAGCATCCACATCAGCCTCCACTCCTGCAATGTCAGCCACTAGTACCGTTCCTTCAGATATAGCATCCACATCAGCCTCCACTCCTGCAATGTCAGCCACTAGTACCGTTCCTTCAGATATAGCATCCACATCAGCCTCCACTCCTGCAATGTCAGCCACTAGTGCCGTTCCTTGAATGTAGCATCACATCAGCCTCCACTCCCTGCAATGTCAGCCACTAGCACCGTTCCTTCCAGATAGCATCCCATCGGCTCAATCCTGCATTGTCAGCCACTGGTACCGTTCCTTCAGATACCAACATCCATCAGCCTCCCACTCTTCAACAATGTCAGCCACTAGTACCGTTCCTTCAGATATAGCATCCACATCGGCCTCACTTTCTGCAATGCCAGCCACTAGTACCGTTCAACTTCAGATATAGCATCCACATCGGCCTCCACTCCTGCATTGTATGTCGGCCCACTAGTACCCATTCAGCCAGATATAGCATCGACATCAGCCTCCACTCCTGCAATGTCAGCCACTAGTACCGTTCCTTCAGATATAGCATCATTGTCAGCCTCCCGCTCTGCAATGTCAGTCACTAGTACAGTTCCTTCAGATATAGCATCCACATCGCCTCCACTCCCTGCAATGTCAGCCACTAGTACCGTTCCCTTCCAGATATAGCATCGACATCAGCCTCCATCCTGCAATGTCAGCCACTAGTACCGTTCCTTCAGATATAGCATCCACATCAGCCTCCCACCCTGTCAGCCACTAGTACCGTTCCTTCAGATATAGCATCCACATCAGCCTCACTCCTGCAATGTCAGCCACTTGTTCCTTCAGATATAGCATCCCATCAGCCTCCCACTCCCGTTGTCCTACCGTTCCTTCCAGATATAGCATCCACATCAGCCTCCACTCCTGCAATGTCAGCCACCTAGTACCGTTCCTTCTGAATGCAGTGCATCCACACCAGCCTCACTTGTCAGCCACTAGTACCGTTCCTTCCCAATGTCAGCCACTAGTACTGTTCCTTCAGATATAGCATCCACATCAGGCTCCCTCCTTGCAATGTCAGCCACTCACTCAGTACCGTTCCTTCAGATATAGCATCCACATCAGCCTCCACTCCTGCAATGTCAGCCACTAGTACCGTTCCTTCAGATATAGCATCCACATCAGCCTCCACTCCTGCAATGTCAGCCACCACTCCTGCATGTCAGTACCGTTCCTTCAGATATAGCATCCACATCCACCTCCTCCTGCAAATGTCCACATCAGCCCACTAGTACACCGTTCCTTCAGATATAGCATCCACATCAGCCTCCACTCCTGCAATGTCAGCCACTAGTACCGTTCGTTCAGATATAGCATCCACATCAGCCTCCACTCCTGCAATGTCAGCCACTAGTACCGTTCCTTCCAGATATAGCATCCACATCAGCCTCCACTCCTGCAATGTCAGCCACTAGTACCGTTCCTTCAGATATAGCATCCAATATCAGCCTCCCACTCCTGCAATGTCAGCCACTAGTACCGTTCCTTCAGATATAGCATCGACATCAGCCTCCACCTTCCTGCATTGTCAGCCACTAGTACCGTTCCTTCAGATATAGCATCCACATCAGCCTCCACTCCTGCAATGTCAGCCATCTAGTACCGTTCCTTCAGATATAGCATCGACATCAGCCTCACTCCTGCAATGTCAGCCACTAGTACCGTTCCTTCATGATATAGCATCGACATCAGACTCCACTCCTGCAATGTCAGCCATCAGTACCGTTCCTTCAGATATAGCATCCACATCAGCCTCCACTCCTGCAATGTCAGCCACTAGTACCGTTCCTTCAGATATAGCATCCACATCAGCCCACTCCCCTCCAATGTCAGCCACTAGTACCGTTCCTTCAGATATAGCATCCACATCAGCCTCCAACTCCTGCAATGTCAGCCACTAGTACCGTTCCTTCAGATATAGCATCCATCAGCCTCCACTCCTGCAATGTCAGCCACTAGTACCGTTCCTTCCATCCACATCAGCCTCCAATCCAATGTCAGCCACTAGTACCGTTCCCTTCAGATATAGCATCCACCACATCAGCCTCCAATCCTGCAATGTCAGCCACTAGTACCGTTCCTTCAGATATAGCATCCACATCAGCCTCCACTCCTGCAATGTCAGCCACTAGTACCGTTCCTTCAGATATAAAGATCCACATCAGCCTCCACTCCTGCATTGTCAGCCACTAGTACCGTTCCTTCAGATATAGCATCCACATCAGCCTCCACTCCAACAATGTCAGCCACTAGTACCGTTCCTTCCAGATATAGCATCCACATCAGCCTCCACTCCTGCAATGTCAGCCACTAGTACCGTTCCTTCAGATATAGCATCCACATCAGCCACTCCAAATGTCAGCTCCTGCATTGTCAGCCACTAGTACCGTTCCTTCAGATATAGCATCCACATCAGCTCCACTCCTGCAATGTCAGCCACTAGTACCGTTCCTTCCAGATATAGCATCCACATCAGCCTCCACTCCTGCAATGTCAGCCACTAGTACCGTTCCAGATATAGCATCGACATCAGATATAGCATCCCTTCATATAGCATCATACCTCCTCACTCCTGCATTGTCAGCCACTAGTACCGTTCCTTCAGATATAGCATCCACATCAGCCTCCACTCCTGCAATGTCAGCCACTAGTACCGTTCCTTCAGATATAGCATCCACATCAGCCTCCACTCCTGCAATGTCACTAGTACTAGTACAGTTCCTTCCAGATATAGCATCCACATCAGCCTCCAATCCTGCAATGTCAGCCACTAGTACCGTTCCTTCAGATATAGCATCCACATCAGCCTCCCACTCCTGCATTGTCAGCCACTAGTACCGTTCCCTTCAGATATAGCATAGCATCCTCCTCCTGCAATGTCACCACTAGTACCGTTCCTTCAGCATCCCACCAGCCTCCTCCTGCATTGTCAGCCACTAGTACCGTTCCTTCAGATATAGCATCCACATCAGCCTCCACTCCTGCAATGTCAGCCACTAGTACCGTTCCTTCAGATATAGCATCCCACATCAGCCTCCACTCCTGCAATGTCAGCCACTAGTACCGTTCCTTCAGATATAGCATCCACATCAGCCTCCACCTGCAATGTCAGCCACTAGTACCGTTCCTTCAGATATAGCATCCACATCAGCCTCCACTCCCTGCAATGTCAGCCACTAGTACCGTTCTTTCAGATATAGCATCGTTCCTCCTGCAATGTCAGCCACTAGTACCGTTCCTTCATATCCACATCAGCCTCCACTCCCAATGTCAGCCACTAGTACTGTTCCTTCAGATATAGCATCCACATCAGCCTCCTCCTCCAATGTCAGCCACTAGTACCGTTCCTTCAGATATAGCATCGACATCAACCTCCTCCTGCAATGTCAGCCATACTAGTACCGTTCCTTCAGATATAGCATCCACATCAGCCTCCACTCCTGCAATGTCAGCCACTAGTACCGTTCCTTCAGATATAGCATCCACATCAGCCTCCACTCCTGCAATGTCAGCCACTAGTACCGTTCCTTCAGATATAGCATCCACATCAGCCCCTCCACCCTGCAATGTCAGCCACTAGTACCGTTCCTTCAGATATAGCATCGACATCAGCCTCCACTCCTGCAATGTCAGCCACTAGTACCGTTCCTTCAGATATAGCATCCATCAGCATCCTCCAATGTCATCAGCCTCCTTCAGATATAGCATCCTGCATTGTCAGCCACTAGTACCGTTCCTTCCAGATATAGCATCCACATCAGCCTCCTCCTGCAATGTCAGCCACTAGTACCGTTCCTTCAGATATAGCATCCACATCAGCCTCCACTCCTGCAATGTCAGCCACTAGTACCGTTCCTTCAGATATAGCATCCACATCAGCCTCCACCCTGCAATGTCAGCCACTAGTACCGTTCCTTCAGATATAGCATCGACATCAGCCTCCACTCCTGCAATGTCAGCCACTAGTACCGTTCCTTCAGATATAGCATCCACATCAGCCTCCACTCCTGCAATGTCAGCCACTAGTACCGTTCCTTCAGATATAGCATCCACATCAGCCTCCTCCTGCATTGTCAGCCACTAGTACCGTTCCTTCAGATATAGCATCGACATCAGCCTCCACTCCTGCAATGTCAGCCACTAGTACCGTTCCTTCCAGATAGCATCCACATCAGCCTCCACTCCTGCAAATGTCAGCCACTAGTACCGTTCCTTCCAGATATAGCATCCACATCAGCCTCCACTCCTGCATTGTCAGCACTAGTACCGTTCCTTCAGATATAGCATCCACATCAGCCTCCACTCCTGCAATGTCAGCCACTAGTACCGTTCCTTCAGATATAGCATCCACATCAGCCTCCTGCACTCCCAGTAATCCTTCAGATATAGCATCCACTCACCTCCAGCAATGTCAGTTAGTACCCTTCAGATATAGCATCCACATCAGCCTCCATTGTCAGCCACTCCTGCATTGTCAGCCACTAGTACCGTTCCTTCAGATATAGCATCCACATCAGCCTCCACTCCTGCAATGTCAGCCACTAGTACCGTTCCTTCAGATATAGCATCCACATCAGCCTCCACTCCTGCATTGTCAGCCACTAGTACCGTTCCTTCAGATATAGCATCCACATCAGCCTCCACTCCTGCAATGTCAGCCACTAGTACCGTTCCTTCAGATATAGCATCCACATCAGCCTCCACTCCTGCAATGTCAGCCACTAGTACCGTTCCTTCAGATATAGCATCCACATCAGTCCACTCCTGCAATGTCAGCCACTAGTACCGTTCCTTCAGATATAGCATCACATCAGCCTCCACTCCTGCATTGTCAGCCACTAGTACCGTTCCTTCCAGATATAGCATCCACATCAGCCTCCACTCCTGCAATGTCAGCCACTAGTACCGTTCCTTCAGATATAGCATCCACATCAGCCTCCACTCCTGCATTGTCAATACTAGTACCGTTCCTTCAGATATAGCATCCACATCAGCCTCCACTCCTGCAATGTCAGCCACTAGTACCGTTCCTTCAGATATAGCATCCACATCAGCCTCCACAATGTCAGCCACTCCGTGATATAGCAATGCCTCAGCATTGTCACCACTAGTACCGTTCCTTCAGATATAGCATCCACATCAGCATCCTGCATTGTCAGCCACTCCGTTCCTTCAGATATAGCTCCACACCAGCCTCCACTCCCTGCAATGTCAGCCACTAGTACCGTTCCTTCAGATATAGCATCCACATCAGCCTCCCACTCCTGCAATGTCAGATACCGTTCCTTCAGATATAGCATCCACATCAGCCTCCACTCCTGCAATGTCAGCCACTAGTACCGTTCCTTCAGATATAGCATCCACATCAGCCTCCACTCCTGCAATGTCAGCCACTAGTACCGTTCCTTCAGATATAGCATCCACATCAGCCTCCACTCCTGCAATGTCAGCCACTAGTACCGTTCCTTCAGATAGCATCGACATCAGCCTCCACTCCTGCATTGTCAGCCACTAGTACCGTTCTTCAGATATAGCAGGACCACATCAGCCCACTCTTGCATTGTCAAATTACCAGTACCGTTCTTCAGATAGCAGTATCGACATCAGCCTACTCCTGCAATGTCAGCCACTAGTACCTTCCGTTCCTTCATATATAGCCCTCGACATCAGCTTCACTCTAAAAATACCAGTACCGTTCCACTTATATACCTGACATCAGTCCAGCAATGAGCACTAGTACCGTTCCTTCAGATATAGCATCCACATCAGCCTCCACCCTGCAATGTCAGCCATCATTACCGTTCCTTCAGATATAGCATCCACATCAGCCTCCACTCCTGCATTGTCCCAGCCACTGGTACCGTTCCTTCAGATAGCATCGACATCAGCCTCCACTCCTGCAATGTCAGCCACTGGTACCGTTCCTTCAGATATAGCATCCACCAGCCTCCACTCCTGCAATGTCGCCACTAGTACCGTTCCTTCAGATATAGCATCCACATCAGCATCCACTCCTGCATTGTTCAGCCACTAGTACTGTTTCCTTCAGATATAGCATCGACATCACCTCCCACTCCCAATGTCAGCCACTGGTACCGTTCCTTCAGATATATAGCATCCACATCAGCCTCCCTCTCCTGCAATGTCAGCCACTAGTACCATTCCTTCAGATATAGCATCCACATCAGCCTCCAATCCTGCATTGTCAGCCATTAGTACCACATTCCTTCCAGATATAGCATCCACATCAGCCTCCCACTCCTGCAATGTAATACAGTACCGTTCCTTCAGATATAGCATCGACATCAGCCTCCACTCCTGCAACAAGTCAGCCACTAGTTCCGTCCTTCAGATATAGCATCCATCCCTCACTCCCACCATTTGCTCCCACTAGTACATTGTTCAAATAGCATCCACATCAGGTCACCACTAGTACCTTCAGATATAGCATCCACATCAGCCTCCACTCCTGCAATGTCAGCACACTAGTACCGTTCCTTCAGATATAGCATCCACATCAGCCTCCACTCCCTGCAATGTCAGCCACTAGTACCGTTCCTTTCCAGATATAGAATCCACATCAGCCTCCCAGCCCCTGCAATATCAGCCAGTACCGTTCAGCCAGAGATAGCATCCACATCAGCCTCTTTCACTCCTGCATTGTCCAGCCACTAGTACCGTTCCTTCAGATATAGCATCCACCCCTCCAATGTCATCTAGTACCGTTCCTTCCACATCCACATCAGCCTCCAATGTCAAATACTAATACCGTTCCTTCAGATATAGCATCCACATCAGCCTCCCACTCCTGCAATGTCAGCCACTAGTACCGTTCCTTCAGATATAGCATCCACCAGCCTCCAATCCTGCATTGTCAGCCATCAGTACCGTTCGTTCAGATATAGCATCCACATCAGCCTCACTCCAACAATGTCCACCACTAAATACCGTTCCTTCAGATATAGCATCGACATCAGCCTCCCATCCTGTTCTTCAGATACCGTTCAGTATCCACATCAGCCTCCACCCTGCAATGCCAGCCACTAGTACCGTTCCTTCCAGATATAGCATCGACATATCCAGCATTTATCCCACTAGTACCGTTCCTTCAGATATAGCATCGACGTCTCCACTCCTGCAATGTCAGCCACTAGTACCGTTCCTTCAGATATAGCATCCACATCAGCCTCCCTCCTGCAATGTCAGCCACTAGTACCGTTCCTTCAGATATAGCCCACATCAGCCTCCACTCCTGCAATGTCAGCCACTAGTACCGTTCCTTCAGATATCAGCCTCCACTCCTGCATCCCACTAGTACCGTTCCTTCCCAGCCATCCACCCCAGCCTCCCTCCACAATGTCAGCCACTAGTACCGTTCCATCAGATATAGCATCCACATCAGCCTCCACTCCCTGCAATGTCAGCCACTAGTACCGTTCCTTCCATATAGCATCCACATCAGCCTCCACTCCTGCAATGTCAGCCACTGGTACCGTTCCTTCAGATATAGCATCCACATCAGCCTCCCACTCCTGCAATGTCAGCCACTAGTACCGTTCCTTCAGATATAGCATCCACATCAGCCTCCACTCCTCCATGTCGCCCAAGTACTGTTCTCCAGATATAGCATCCCATCAGTCCTCCCTACATTGTCAACACTAGTACCGTTCCTTCAGATATAGCATCCACATCAGCCTCCACTCCTGCAATGTCATACCACTAGTACCGTTCCTTCAGATATAGCATCCACATCAGCCTCCACCCTGCATTGTCAGCCACTAGTACCGTTCCTTCAGATATAGCATCGATATCAGCCTCCCACTCTGCAATGTCAGTCACTAGTACCGTTCCTTCAGATATAGCATCCACATCAGCCTCCACTCCTGCAATGTCAGCCACTAGTACCGTTCAGTCGTCAGCCTCCATCCTGCAATGTCAGCCATAGTACCGTTCCTTCCAGATATAGCATCGCATCAGCCTCCACTCCTGCAATGTCAGCCACTAGTACCGTTCCTTCAGATATAGCATCCACATCAGCCTCCACCCTAGTACCCGTTCAGCAATATGTCACCATAGTACCGTTCCTTCAGATATAGCATCCACATCAGCCTCCACTCCTGCAATGTCAGCCACTAGTACCGTTCCTTCAGATATAGCATCCACATCAGCCTCCCACTCCTGCAATGTCAGCCACCTTCAGTACCGTTCCTTCAGATATAGCATCCACATCAGCCTCCACTCCTGCAATGTCAGCCACTAGTACCGTTCCTTCAGATATAGCATCCACATCAGCCTCCCTCCTGCAATGTCAGCCACTAGTACCGTTCCTTCAGATATAGCATCACATCAGCCTCCACTCCTGCAATGTCAGCCCACTAGTACCGTTCCTTCCGATAACAGATATAGCATCCACATCAGCCTCACTCCAACAATGTCAGCCACTAGTACCGTTCCTTCAGATATAGCATCCACATCAGCCTCCACTCCTGCAATGTCAGCCCACTAGTACCGTTCCTTCAATATAGCATCCACATCAGCCTCCACTCCTGCAATGTCAGCCACTAGTACCGTTCCTTCATATACCATCGACATCAGCCTCCACTCCTGCAATGTCAGCCACTAGTACCGTTCCTTCAGATATAGCATCCACATCAGCCTCCACTCCTGCAATGTCAGCCACTAGTACCGTTCCTTCAGATATAGCATCCACATCAGCCTCCTCCTGCATTGTCAGCCACTAGTACCGTTCCTTCAGATATAGCATCCACATCAGCCTCCCCACTCCTGCAATGTCAGCCACTGCCGTTCCTTCAGATATAGCATCCCATCAGCCTCCACTCCTGCAATGTCAGACTAGTACCGTTCCTTCAGATATAGCATCCACATCAGCCTCCACTCCTGCATTGTCAAGCCACTAGTACCGTTCCTTCAGATATAGCATCCACATCAGCCTCCACTCCTGCAATGTCAGCCACTAGTACCGTTCCTTCAGATATAGCATCCACATCAGCCTCACTCCTGCAATGTCAGCCACTAGTACCGTTCCTTCCAGATATAACATCCACATCAGCCTCCACTCCTCAA